AATTCCCTAAAGATACCGAGGGATAGCTGTACAGCTTTTATAAATCAAAGTCCCAGGAGAAATCACTGAACTAACAATACTCAACCAAGCAACCTTCCTTCCACACAGAACCTAGGTATTTAGTTTGTAAATAACTAGTTCTAGATGCTATAGAAAAAAGAGCAAAAGTTAAAGGATATTCACAATGATTTAATCACATGAATTCACTGAGGATACCTGGATACCTAACACCCTGCTAGAAAGATCTAAAATTTTCCTTCAATGATTATGCTGAGTTTAAAAATTGATTCATCTGTGTTTGTCTAAATCATTTATAATTTAACATACTTTTATATTCAGAAAATATTAAAATAATAATGATATTCTGGTATGATTTCAACAAAGAATATAAAGATATTCCTCAAATTACTTACATAAGACTTTTAAAAATGTGTCTACTTAGCTCTGTGCTGACTTAGTTGTTTAGATACTACCCAAGAGTGACTGCTTTATGGAAATCAGGCTACACTTTCCCCCTACTAGCTGGTCAAGGACCAAAAACCAAACACAGCTGAGTGTCAATTTACTTCTCCCCACTGTTGTCCACTTCCAACACTGCCTTTAACCCACAGCTAAAGCAAGATTGCTCCAAGTAGATTATAGTGTTCTTTTATTTGAATTTACATTTAAAAATTTAAAACTCTCAACCTATTTAATACCTTATATAAATAAATCCAATTCCATCCAAAACTGAGGACAAAACTGATGAAGAAAACTCGTCTCAACTGGGTGTACCAGCGAACATATGTCCACAGCTCAGTTGCTACTAATGCCACAATGCAGAGCAGACACAGAAGTACCTTGAAAACAAAAGCGTAAATCAGAGTCACTGCCAACCTATCCTCCCCAGCAAAAAACTCCAAACATCAGTAGAAACAAAAGTAGTAGACACAAATACATAAAATCTGGGACTGAGGGTATGGGTCAAGTGGCAGAGCACTTTTCTAGCAAGTTCAAGGTCCTGAGTTCAAGCCCCAGCAAAGCCAAAAACAACAAAAAAATTAAATGCAGAAAATCATTCATACCACTTTGCTGCTTGTTCAGACTGAAGTCTGAGTGACTCAGTATAGACCCTTAATAATATATTAGTGTCTTCAAAGTACTATAAAAAAGGAAACTTAATCATGTCACCCTTATCCCACCTTACCATTAGCACGTTATATGGATCCACTCCAAAGTAATCTTCAAATTGCCACTTCCATGTTTCAAAATCATGAAACTTAAAATTAATTAAAATATCACTTAGCACATCATCCATGGCTCCTGATTTCCATTCTTCTCCGTTGAGAAACTTCTGTATTTCCAGTAAGGTTTGTCTTTTAAGGATAATCTCAGCGTCATAATGCATTTCACCTTTATTTTCATCAGGCTGAATTAAATTCACCAAAATTCAAACAATAAAAAAAAAGAGAATTTTATTATCACATCACCCAGTGAAGCATTAAGATAAAAGCCAATTTGGAATTAAATATATAGTTTGCTTGATCCCTAGCACCCCACAAAGAGAATGAGTTAAGTATAATTAAATTGCAGTATCTCACACACATAAGAAAATAACAGAATTGGAGGTGTGGCTCAAATGGTAGAGTGTTTGCAAGTGTGAAGCCCTAATTCAAAACGCAGTCCCACCAAAAAAAAAAAAGAAGAAGAAAGCATATATACATGTCTGTCTGTCTCAAGGGCCAACATGAAAACCAGTAATAAGCCAGGCACAAGTGGCTCATGCCTGTAATTTTAGCTACTTAGGAGGCAGAAAGCAAGAGGATATGGTTCAAAGCCAGCCCGGGCAAACAGTTCTTGAGGACCTATCTCAAAAATATTCAACACAAAAAGGGTTGGCAGAGTAACTCAATGGTAGAACACCTGCCTAGTAAGCATGATCAAACCACAGAATCATCAAAAAAATTAAAAAAAAAAACAGAAACGTGTGAAAAACCTTTTAAAATGAGAGAATTGTATATAAGGATACTGTTAATTGTATTGAAACACAGTTAATTCTTGCTCTTTGCATACTTAAGTTCTACAAAGTAGCCTCAAACACTAATTGGCAGAGTAAGCCATACTCCTATAGGAAACACAGGGCTAGGTTCTATGAACCTCTAATTATTTCTTTTTTTATTGTTTTCTTATTCATATGTGCATACAAGGCTTGGGTCATTTTGAACCTCTAATTATAACTGATCAATACATAACATTGTTTTATGTGTATTTCTGTGACATCTTATTCATTACCACTGACACACAACAGCAGAACATCCTATTTGTCATGCCTAAATGAAGCCTATCCAACATATGCACTTTCTCTGTAAGACACATCACAGCCTTCTTGCACTTACGAACACTAGGCAGTACTTCAACATACATTTGAGGAACATTTTAAACAAAATTACACCCATCCCCCAAAATGTGAAAAAACGTTAAGCACTAAAATAAACCATAATGAAACATAGCAGAAGACACATGGTTTGTAGTATTAGAAGCTGAAACAAGAGGACAGATCTCAGATGGGAGGTGGGTGGCTCTCTTGTAATCCTAGCTACTCAGAAGGCAGAAATCAGGAGGATAACAGTTCGAAGCCAGCCCAGGCAAATAACTACCAAGACCCTATCTCAAAAAACCCATCACAAAAAAGGGCTGGTGGAGTGGCTCAAGGTGAAGGTCTTGAGTTCAAATGCCAGTACCAGAAAAAAAACAAACAAAAAGAGGCAGACCCCTGCTGCTTTGTTCCTCCTCAGTTGGGATCAGGCATCAAGCAACTCAAATTTTTTGACACTCTGCACATGCTCCAGAAAGACCAAAAAGACACCTCAAGTACTGACTTCAAGGCCAAAAATAAATTATAACAAATAAATTCACAAACATGGAATCTGGAAATAAAGACTGACTGTCTTTATCATTCAGTTTATGACTTTGTATTTGCTGATACAATTTTAAGACAGCCTAAAATCTGCAGTAGCATAAATAAGAAAAATTTTAAAAAGGAGCAAACAATACAAATTAAGAGAAAATTCCTTTCATTTTTATAAGAGTAAACACAGAAAATCACAAATCACCAGAAAAGCATAGTCATCATTAATATTGAAAAGGAATATTTTAAAAATACCTTTACAATTTTTTTTTAAATTGGGAACTAAGCATTTCCAAAGCACCTCCCTCCCTTTCCTCCTCCTTTCTTTGCTTTTTCTCTCTTCCTTCTTGTGCTGGGGATTGACCCCAAAGCCTCATGCACCCTAGACAATTGCTCTACCACTGAGCTACATTCCTGGCCCCATCTCTCCATCGTAAATGTCTTCCTGGCTCCTTCTGTTTTCTCATATAGGTCTGTTCTACTCTACCACAGCTGTATAGACTTAAATCACAGGTGTACAAGCCAGGTGTGGGGGTGCAAGCCTGTAATCCCAGCTACTTCGAGGGCTGAAGCAGGAAGATTTCAAGTTTGAACAAGACCCACCTCCAAAAAGAAAAAAAAAAATTATAAAGGGTGTACACATGAGACATCTGCTTTTATACTTTCAAGGTAAGTGGTATTGCTGTGCACTGGTGGCTCACGCCTATAATCCTAGATACTCAGAAGGCAGAGAATCAGGATAGTTCGTGAGACCCTAGCTCAAAAAAACTCATCACAAAATAAGGGCAGGTGGAGTGGGGCTCAAGTGGTAAGAACATGTGCCCAGCAAGCATGAGATCCTGAGTAAAACCCCAGTGCTGCCCTAAAACAAAAAAAAGTGGCATTATTAAATTATTCATCTAACACTTCTGTCCAGTTTAACCATTTCTTGCTTCAGCCAGGAGAAAAGAATCTGGCCAGCCTGCTCAATGCTGACACAAGGCCATTTCACTTCAAGAATCTGCCTGTGAATGTTCTAGTGCTTCTAGCTAATGGACAAACCAAACAAGTAGCTTTCTACCCTAAACTAATTCTGGTGATATATGTAATGGGGGAAAAATCTACGCACTTGAAAGTAAGCTTTATAAATGGTGTAAAATTAAAAATTAAATTAAGTTTTCTTAATGTTTTGATTCCCCAATGTTGAAAACAATGTTTTTTTTAAATGGATTTAAAAAATTTTTAAATGGAAGTTTTGAGCTAGGGGTATAGCTCAGTGGTAACACTCTTGCCTGACATATGCAAATCCCTGGGTTCTGTCTGCAGCACTGGAAGGGAAGGGAAAGGGGGAAGCCCCAGGGGAAGGGTGAAGGGGGAAGGGAAGGGAGGGGAATGAAAATATCCACTACACTGATTAATATCACACAACCAGATACTCACAAGTCCAAGCTTTCTGGCTTCAATTAAAATCTTATTTAAGTATCTCCTAAAAACAGGATTGCTTTGACTTTCATAGTCTTCTCTCTTTTTCTTTTCACACTCATCAATCTGTAATCACACAAAAATTCAACATGAGTTAGCATCAAAGTTTAACATAAGGGTCCAGTTCTAGCCTGATGATGTCATCGAAGTCAGGGTAAGGAGTTTTTTTGTTTGTTTTTTGGTTTGGTTTTTTTTTTTTTTTACAAGAAACATGTTTTACTGGTGGGTGGAAGCCCTCTCAAGTGCAGGGACTACTACTTGTCCAACTAACCACAGTTGGGGATATATTCAACCCTACTGTCAGTGGGGATGAGCTGTTTCTCAGCAGCTTCAAATTCATCGCAATGAACTTGGTAAAGCCCTGCCTTTGAGATGGGTCTTCTGGTGGTCAGGGAGCTTGAACTTGCCCTGCATAAGGCCTCAATCACATATTCCTTGTTTTACAGGTTGGTGCAAATGGACCTGATGACTTGACGGGTGTGAATGTGCCCATATACTTGTCTGAAGCCTGGACTGGGGACACCATGAGAGCAGAGACATGAACACCCACTGGGAAAACTCTGTCTCCAAGGTCCCTTAGGACAACCCATATAAACAAGACTGGTACACTACCAAGAAGGCTGGTGTTTGCAGCCGCTGCACCCAGGGCAGTGGGTAAAGAGCCTGGTCAATTTAATTGGCTGCAAAAGGAGTTGGTATTTTATCAAGCTATATACAAATCAGCTGCATTACAGTGTAGAGCTGACCTGTGTCTTGTGAGTTCTCCTGGTAAAGGGCAGTAGGCAACAAATAAGGAACATATGTCCAGTACTTAGCCCAGACCTGACAGTTTTTCTGCTGCCTTTCAACAATTTTAAAACTGAAGATCATGAAGTTGAGAAGCAGAGATTCATAAGCAGAGCATCTGCACCATACCACCTCTTTCTATTTTCAAAGCAACGATTCAATGAGAGAAAGAGAGGAGGAAAGGAAGAATAAAAACAGACACACAAAGAGACAGAGGAATGGAGACAGGGTGAAGCCAGAAGATGCAATGAAGGACAAAGCAAAGAATTCCTTGAATGCACATATTACTTCTGACCTCTTTTGTTAGTGACTAATCACCCACTACATGAATGCTCAGGAAAGCAGTAATTGGCTTCTCCAAAGAATCCCACACATGCGTGCATTCAGTACATAATTCTTCACTGGAACAAATTTCTAAATTTAGTTGTACTACCACAACAGCAGCCAAGTGGCTGAGCGAGGGCAGTGGGTATTTTACAAACTTCAAAATAACCTGGTGATAATCAACTTGTATATTTTTTTAACAGTGAGCACTGAAATGGCCCAAAGGCTTGTTTACCAGTTGATAAACAAGACAAGTAATTAAGCAGCATGCACACACATAGGACAGAAGGAGCACAGCAGTTTCAGTCCTGTTTCAAGGCAGGACTTACAAACCATTTTATTTTTTTAGCTCTTAACTTCTTCAGCTATTAAAAATTACTCAACCAAAAAAATAAATAAATAAATAAAAAGATTTAAAAAATAAAAAAATTACTCAAGTGGTCTTGGGATATAGTGTTAATGGTGAAGCGCTTGCCTATCCCACCGCCACCAAAAACCCCAGTAACATAAGACTCCATTTCGCCAACTGACTTTTATCATGTTTGAGCCCCAAGTAACAATGAAATAAAAATTTCAAGAAAAAGGCATTTCTGATTTTTAATGTCAACCATACTAGCTCACTACCAAAATACGGTTAAACTGAAACAAATTTTATGCAACCATTCTTTTGCTAGCATTCAGGGATATATCTGGTTGGATCTAGGATAAACCAGGATCTCAATAGCACTCTCCCAGTCTCCTGAGCTGGGAATTTCTAGCCCTTCCCTGGCCCTGTATCTCCCACTTTCCCTTAGCTATCAGCATTTATCTCCTCTACTTCATAAAAGCTTCACACTCACCTCTTCTCTTCACCCATCACTGTCACCATGTCATTGTGAGCCTTCAGCATGCTGAACCTCTGTAACTCCTGATGACCTGACTACCACCCTCCTCATTCCAGACCCTCTCCATACTGATAGTAGTTCATTCTACATATAAAACTAATAAGGATGATTCTCCCAGCAAATAATGAATATGCTCACATCCCTTAATCTTATTTCCTTTTATATAAACCCTACTTCAGCCACATTAAAAAAAAAAAAAAAGATTGAAGCTGGGCACTGGTGGCTTATGCCTGTAATCCTAGCTACTCAGGAGGCAGAGATCAAGAAGATCGAAGATCGAGGTTCCAAGCCAGTCCAGGCAAATAGTTCTTGAGCCCCTATCTCCAAAAAACCCAACACAAAAAAGGGCTGGTGGAGTGGCTCAAGGTATAGGCTCTGAGTTCAAACCCCAGTACCGCAAAAAACAAAAACAAAAAAAAGATTGAGTAAAAGAAGAAATGAATAGCTACCATACACTAGATTCTAACAGCCCTTCACATTTGTAAGAGTAGGTCTTATAAACTGTTAATAGACCAGTTTCTTCACTTGCTTCTTTTCATCTTCTTCCTTGCCCTTACCAGTATGACAGGTGATACAGCAAGATGAATAAATAAAATGCACTCCTACAGACTAGTTTGTAGTCTGATAAAGACATAATTACAACATAACATGATAGATGTCATCACAAAAAATACAAAGCATTATTAGAAAACAAAACTTGACTAAAAATATACATATAATTACATAATACAGGAACATTATGAACACAAACATTAACAAAGACAAGAAAACGGAGTGACTTAACACAATGTTACATTTAAGAATGGAAAAAAAATCCAACCTTATGAGCTAAAGAATCAAGTCTGAGATAACACTGTGACAATTCATCAGCATTTGATGAGTCAGGACTGACATCCTTTTTCTCTGATACAACATATTTCGCCTAAAACAAAGTAGAGATTTTATTTCTATATAGTTCAGTTTAAAAAAAGCTTTCGGTTAATGAATAAAATTTTGACTTTATCATTTTATGACTTTGCTCATTATAGCCTTCACTTGAATTGAACCATGACAAAAGTAAAAATCTCAAATGTACATACCAAGCACTAAAATCAATCTGGCTTACTCCTTGATCAGCTTTATATTCAAATTCAAAATGGAAATAACCAAATGGGTTTGAAACAGATTTAAGAGTTGTTAGGAAGATATTCTACATGACTGCTAATCATTTATATATGACACTCTTAAATCTGTATAAACAAGAACAACAGAGTACTATTTCCATCAGAGGACTGATAGGACTTACACACACATGCAGTTTTAAATAAATACCTGAGATTTCCTCATTGTCCCTGAAGCAGCATCATAATTAAGCATGTCTGTGGGGTCAATCCAGTCATCGTCATGAGCATAACCGTTATCAGCAATAGGTATTCACAGAGAAGCAGCGAGAAGCACAGCATCCTGTATAAGACTAAAAAAAATTTTTGATATAATTTTGGGCCGGGGAGGTGGGGCAGAGTGGTGGCACTGGCATTTGAACCACTTTAGCCATACCATCAAATTAAAGATAACTTCAGTTATTTTTTAATAGGGTCTGGCTTTTATGCTCTAGCCTGCCTGGACTACAATCCTCCTATGTTTCCTATGTAGCTGGAATGACAGGTGCACACCACTATTCCCAGCATTTTATTGGATGAAATGAATTCCTGCTGTTTGCCCAGGCTGCCATTGAACCCCAATCTGCCTGATCTCCACCTACAGAGTAGCTAGGATTACAGGTATAAGCACTACACCTGGCTGAAACAAGTTTTTAAAATAAATCATTTTATAATAAAAACTACTTCCTTACAGTGTTAACATTTCTGAGTAATAATTAAGGAATGTACATTAAATAATAGTAAGGTGGCATCCATGTATAAAAATATACATGTATATAAAAATACTTATATGCACAATATTCTCATTCAGATTAAAAAAAAAAACATGTCTTCCATATGGCCCAGCCATTCCATCCCTAACTATACACCCGAGAGAAATGAAAATATATGTCCACACAAACACTTGTACAAAATAGACAAAGTGAAACAGCGCAAAATTCCATCAACTGATAAATGAGTAAATAAATGTGGTACACCCATACAACAGAGTATTAAACCATAAAAGAATGAAGCACTTATGCCATACTATAACATGAATGAACCTTAAAATTATTATGCTGTGAAAGAAACCTGCCACAAAAGACCACAAATGTTATGATTCCACTTACAAGAAATGTCCAGAGTAGACAAATCTATAGAGACAGAAAGAAGACTAAGGATGCCGTTAGCTGGGCATATAGGGCCATACGGGGCTATAGTTAAAGGGTACAGGAATGAAAACTGTTTTAAAGTTGTGGCTGGACATACCCGTGAATACATAGAGATGGAGTCTTGCTATGGTCCCCGGACTGACCTCAAACGCCTCAGCTCAAATGAGCCTCCCACCTGAGCCCCCCAGATCGCTGCGATAATACATGCGCCCCTGGCTTCTGAACTGTACATTTTAAGTGAGTAGAGAGCACTTATTCTATTTTATGGAGTGAAGTGTTGCCAATGTTTAGAATGAAAAATAAAGCCAATTAAACAAGTGAATTTAAAATAGTATTGATTTATAGCTCAATGTAGGTACTAAAAAACAAACAAAACCTTTCTCGCCAATTTTTTTAACAAGTGAGATTTTAAGAAAAGATATGAAATTAAGATTCAACCGAACTCCAATATCATTCAGAGAAAATGACCTGCCTCCTCACCTAAGTGTCTGTATAACATACTATTTGAGGGGCAGGCAGAGTGGCTCAAGTGGTAGAGTGCCTGCCTAGCAAGGGCTAAGAGGCCCTGAGTTCAAACCCCAGTTCCATAAAAAAAAAAAAAAAAAAAAAAATTAACATACTATCCAATATAGGAGCCACATGTGGCTGCTGAGCACGTGAAATACAGCAAGTGTGGCTCAAGTAGTTGAGCAGGTGCCTCGAAAGCACAGAGCCCTGGGTTCATACTCCAGTACCACAAACCAACCACTGTCCAGTGCAGATACAGGGCATTTCCATAGGCACAGAAAGTTCTTCCAAACAGCCTACCTTAAATCCACTACATGTAAGGCATGGGAACCCCAAAATGAGAAAGGTCTGCGCTGTGCACACAAACAGCTTAAAGTCTAGTTGTAAAAACAGAAGTAACTCCAGACTAAATTAGTACTTCTCTGTGCTCCCCTTGTTCATTCTTCTAGCACAGCACACAGTGAAATGAGTCCTTTATTGTTCTCTCTTCCACTAGCAAGGGGCTCGCTCTCAACTGTGGCTTCACACCAAACTCACCTGAGGAGCTTCTGAAATTCATGTCCTGGTCACTTCCCAGACTCACAAAATCAGAATCTTGGGAGCTGGGGCCCAGGCACTGGGAATTTTAAAGCTCCACAGGTGATTCCAATGTGCAGCCAAGGTCAAAATCCACAGCACCACCTCAGCTACTCCAAATCTAAATGCACCTTACCAATGACCTCTCCATCCTGCCCCCCACAACACCCAGCCCAGTGACTGCCAAATGAAAGACGTTTAATAAATGTTTAAGCAGTAAGTACAAATGATCAACACTGTAACAAGATTAAAGGATCTGAGAGGCTCAAAGATCAAATAACACTCATCTGATTAGGAAAACCCAGGAAGAGTTCGTGGAGAAATCCAGTGGGAAATGGATCATGAAGTATAGGGAACATTTTAAGAATGCATGACAAGAAAGCAGAAGAGCAAAATCCATGCTTCAGAAAGTGTAAGTGCAAGGATGTATGTTGGGGCACAGAGCTGAACAACGAGGCTGTGGTGACACCAACATACAAAGCTTGTGACTAATTTCACCCTCTGACAAGAGTTTTCAAGAGTAATGAAAGCTACTTTCCTCATCAGGTCAAGAGTCTGCTACAGCAAGCACCATACTTAGTAGATCAAGAATGAGACGAGCGAAAGGGGCTTGAGGGTTTCTGGGACACTGACAACGAAAAGTGGATGGCAGTCACATGGGTGATCGCTTTTTAATACCTGGCTAAGGTGAGCACTTACATTTTCAACAGTTTTCTTCACACTGGACTCACCTGAGGAGGAAAAGGTTTACTAAATGGGCATGAGACTAATGTTGAAGGTACCTCAGAATGTGACTGTGTCTGGACATAGAGTTTTGGGGACTCTTTGTTTTGTTTAAGACAGGGTCTCACTGTATAGCTTAGGCTGGCCTCAAACTCACCATCCTTCGCAAAGTGCTGACATTACAGGCATGCACTAGCATGAAAGGCTCTGGGTCTTTAAAGAATTAAGTTAAATGGGATCTGTAGGGTGGGCCCTAATCCAGTATCACTGGAGTCCTAAGAGGAGGGTATCTGGATACAGACTGGTCAGAGGTAAGGTGACATAGACCATTTGTAAGCCATTTTCAGATGCCTCAGAAGAAATGAATCCTGCCGCATGAGCTATGTCTTCTGGCCTTCAAAACTGTGAAAAAAAAAAAAAAAGTAATTTATTGTTTACACTCCCTAGTAGTAGGGGCTGGCTGAATGGCTCAAGTAGTACAGCACCTGCCTAAGCTCCCTAATACTTGTTATGGTAACCCTAGAAAACTGATATAGATTTCTTCAGATATGAAAGACTAAAAAGGTCGACAACTCATGGACTCCTCATACATCAAAGAAGTCTGACCACAAGGAGAAAAGGAGTAAACAGAAGAAACGATCAGCAATCAAGTATTAATAAATTCAATTAACTATCAGTAGTTTTAAAAAAGGTTTTGTGCTTAAAAGTGTAAAGGCAAAATACTAACATCACTGTCATGCTCTGGAGACAGAGAAATACTGAATAACTGTAGGCTTTATTGGAAAAAAAGAAAACACAAAACAAGGGTCAAACTAAGGAATAAATAAAGCCTTGGAAGAAGCAAATGCAAGGAGAGTGCAGACTAATCAGAGCAACAGAAGGCAAGCCAAAACCAGGCAAGGTGAAGAAAACAAGGAGGGGCTTCATCTGGAGAGGTTAAATGCTTTGGAGACGTTGAGAGTGAAGTTTGATCAAAGGTCTTCGGATCGCTTAAGCTGGCCACTTATAGACCAAAAAACGACAGGAAAAAGCCTAATTCCAAGTGGGTAAGAAGTAAGTAGGTGACAGAGCATATAAAATGAACTGAGGCTTCCAGAAACTGGGAGTGTGTATGAATGACACCAAGGTTCCAGGAAGGTTTTTATCACAGGCAACAAGATTATACACTTCTTCATAAATAGAACGAAGAGGGAGGAAGATGAAAGTTTCTAAAGTAAAAAGATCGGAAGCCAGTAGCGTTCACATTATAAGATGGCATCAAGTAGACAGCAAATATTCTGCAAAGAGTGTCACTGTGGACACTCTTGTGCAGGTAGGGGGAATGGAAATTTGGAAGGTGGTAGAGCGTTTGCCTGGCAAAGCAAGGTGAATGAAAAGCTTGCCAAGCGTCACACATGGTCATACCACTGACAATCATGTGACTTTCTCCAGTAATGTTCAGCAAGCACAGAGATTTATCCAGAATTTGCTAGAGAATGGCAATATAAAAATGATGACCGAACAGAGGATGAGATACAGTAGGATCAGCTGGAAATTCAAGCCCTCCTGTCAGATTCCTGGCTGGAACCATAAATCTTAGAGCTGATGCATTTCTCTAACAGAAGCTGCATCTACATGTGCTAGGGAGCTTGTTAAAAAAATAGGTTCTAAGCTGGGCATGGTGGCACACACCTGTAATCTCAGCACTCAGGGGGACTGTGAGTCTAAGGCCAGCCTGAGCTACAGAGTGAGTCCTGGTCTTAAAAAGATTCTGATTCAGTACATTTGAGGTGGATCTGAGCCTGTGCATTTCTAATGAGCTCCTGCTCATGATACAGACCTGATGTTCCCACATCACACTATGATTACAGTATTAAGCAAAAGTAATCATCCTAGGCCAGTGTGGTGGTGCATGCCTGTAATCCCAGCATTGAGGAACTGAGGCATAAGGAATCACTCAGTTCCAGACCAGCCTGGGCTACACAGGGAATCCCTGTGTCAAAAAAAACCAAATAAACAAACAAACTGCTGATGCCAGTGGCTCATGCCTGTAATCCTAAACTACTTAAGGGAGCTGAGATCAGGAGAATAACAGTTTGAGGCCAGCCTGGGCAAATAGTATGAAAGTCCTCATCTCCAAAATAACCAGAACAAAATGGACTGGAGACGTGGCTCAAGCAGTAGAGCACCTGCTTTGCAAGTGGAAAACGAGTTCAAACCTAAGCCCTCCCACCCCCCAAAAATTGTCCTATCTTGGTTTAATTTAACAGTAGCACATGTCATTTTAACTTGTCAGTGGGTACTAGTCTCTCTCCCCCCAGTTTCTACCATTTTACCACTTTCTCAATTGCCTCCACCTTTGGTAGTAAT